CGGGGCCCGGGGCGAGGGGCGGGGCCCGGGGCGAGGGGCGGGGCCCGGGGCGAGGGGCGGGGAGTGTACGGAGCCGTTCTGGGGCAGTCAGGAGTTTCCTCCCCCTGGGTTTCTGGTGCGATGATTTCAGCGCCCGTTGACCGGAATCCTGGCATCGGTTTGGTTCTGGCCGGTGGCAGAGCAGGCAGAGTGCCCAGGAGGAGATGGCTAGGGGCGACATCCTGCACGCCGGGGGGCGGCACAAGTCACTCAGCCTTTTCAGACGGGGGTGGGGTGGAGAGAGAAAGCTCAGGGAGCCTTTCGTGAGGACAGCGTCAGGTCTGACTAGAAGTCACTACAGCGAGGGTCTTTTGACTCCGCTCGGGGAAATACCGCGGAAGAGACCGGAGTCCCCGCTGTTTCTCACCGAGGAAGAGGAGCCCGTTCCCACTAGGGGGCAGCAGTGTCCGGTGGCTCTGTGGTTCAGTGGGGCTGCCTCCCGTGGTCCCAGCCGGGTTTCCTGGGGTTTTCTTGGAAAATCACTTGCAAGACCAGGATCTGAACTAACAGGAAGTAAAATAGGGCTTCAAAATCCTGTAGCGGCCACGTAACCTTTGCAGACTACGTTCGTAAGTCAGAGCTCACAGCACTATTGGGGGCTCCAAACCGTTAAGTGGGAGGGGGCTATGGGTGAAGCACGAGGGAAAAGCAAAGCTGGCAGGTACCCATCCGTCTTTCCTGATGCCAGGGCCAAGTTTGCTGTCAATTCTTACTTCCTTCCTTCCCATCTCCCTCCCTCCCTCCCACCTTCCTTCTTTCTTTTTCTCCCTCCTTTTCTTTGTGAGGGTAACTTGCTGTCTTAGGAATTCTGATTCTTAAAAAAAAAAAAACCCTAAAAGTGACCCCAAAAACCCCATGGAGCAGTGTTCTTAGCAGCAGGCTTTCATAGCGTCCATAGAGAATGTCATAAAAATGGGCAGTCTCCTTCTTTAGCCCCATTGTAATCAGCCATCTTAGCTGTGGAAGGGAGCATATAGGTCATCTGTCTGGTCTAGCTTGCCCATTTTACAGTTGAGGTGACTGAGGCCCAGAGAGGTGAGTGACAAGGCCAGGGTCACACAGGCAGAGCAGAACTCAGGACTCCTGCACTCCTTATTACGAGGATTGTCAGCCAAGGACGTTTTACTGTTGATTTGTGAGCTGAATCTCCTTCATACTGACGGGGTGTCCATCTTGAGCTTCCTTCGGATACCCCACAGTTGTTCTCTGCCCAGAGTGGGCACCTAACATGCTGTAAAGTGACTGGCCATTAAGGAGGCTCCTGGTAGAGAACAGATCTGGGCATGGTTCCTGGCGGTGGGACTCCTGCTGAGGTTCCCTCTGGCATCTCTTTCTACCCTGCACTCTCCTCTGTTAAGCCCGCGATGCCTGCGCTGGAGGCTTGCTTAGTGCTGGAGAGAGTGCCAGGGAAAACACTGATTAGAGAAGGATAGGAGGGGATCCAGAAACGAAAGAAATTGGAAACCACTTCAGAGCATTCTTTAAATAGATCTGTGCTCTGTGTTCCTGCTGAGCCGCTGTTTCTGTCTGCTCTGCGGCATAGGTGCTCCGTTCCTGGGGCTGTGGTCATCAGGAGGCTTGGCCAATGACAGTTCTCCTCTGCCTCTTTCAAGTCATGGCCGGTGGCTGGAGAGCCAAGGAGCCAGCGTTCGTGTTCGGAACCCTGAAAGGAAGGGTCTGCAAAGCTTGCTACAAAGTAGAAAAGCCCTGCTGTGTCTTGCCTACCTGGAGGCCAGGCCAGGGGGCAGCCCCTGCAGAGTTCCTTGCAGTAAACGCTGAACACCCAATGCAAATCCCAAAAGTCCTCTTGTAAACATTTGAACGATCAGATGGAAGACATCGAGGCCACTTTTCAGGGGTTGCCACACTGTCTGTCCTTGTCAGGGTTTTGATAGGCTCCCTTCCTCAAGCTCGGCTGCTATCCAAAAGGTTGGCAGTTCGAATCTACCAGCCGCTCCTTGGAAACTCAATGGGCCAGTTCTGCTCTGTCCTATAGGGTCGCTGTGAGTTGGAATCAACTTGATGGCAACGGATTTCCTGCCGTTTCATCCAGATTTCTCAACGTACATCTGTGGCCTGTTGTTGTCTTGTTCTATTCTAAATGTAAACCCTCAGTAGGACTTATCAGTAAGAGAAAGGATAGGAGATATAATACTACATAAAATATATATGACATAGATACAGTATTTAATGAAGAGTTTCTCAGCACAATTATCCATGAATAGGAAAGGAAATAGAGTCCATCTTTGTTTCTTGACAACTAGGTGTTCAGCACCTGCCATGTGCCATGAAGAATCCCTAGTCCTGTTCCGACATTGCCTACAAAGGCAATGCCGATATCCTGGCCTCTTTTGTACCTAGCCTGGAAATCTCATGTCATTCGGTGATTAGTATTGAATATTTTTTACCTTGGAAGTCTAAAATCTGTCACAGTTGAGGTACAGGTAGCGTTTTCAACAGTTTACCTAATAGAGGGGCTTCTCTCTTCCACGCTCAGTGTCTAGTGGGGGAGTTCTGGTCTGTTCTGAGGTCCTTCCCTGATCGACGTGAATGGAGAGGTAAGAGGGCTGAGAGCCGAAGGTGGAGACCGGATGCCCGATGGGTATACTGCAGAATGACTGCACTGAGTAGGAGATTGGATGGCCTGCTCTCTAAGACGCTGCCCAATTCTTAATGTTTCTCTGATTCCAAATGAGTTAGACCTCTGTTTGGAAAGGTGGTCCTAGTTAGTCATTAATAATCATTAAAGATTATCTATTAGCTGGAGTCCCTGGGTAGTAGAAATGGCTAATGTGCTTAGCTGCTAACCAAAAGGTTGGCAGCTCAAGTCCACCCACAGGTGCCTCGGAAGAAAGGCTTGGCAGTCTACTTCCCAAAAGTTGGCCATTGAAAACCCTAGGGAGCGCACTTCTGCTCTGAACCCATATGATGGCAACTTTTTTTTTTTTTTTTTTACTGTATTAGTCACCAGCCTTTAGTAAGCTCCATTTGTTTCTCTGCGTGTATTTCCAGGGACCGTCTCCACACTTGTTCCCGAAGGGGAGAGGGTGAGCTTTTCTCTCGAGCACAGGTGGTGGGGAGGTGAGTTGGGGGAGCACTCTGCTCTTTCCAGAGCTGATTTCCCTGAGTCCCCTGCTTCCTTTTGTCCGCGCTATTGGAATGTAGGAGCTGGAGCCGATTTTGTCATGCTGGGAGGGATGTTTTCAGGCCACACTGAGTGTGCTGGAGAAGTGATCGAGAGGAACGGCCAGAAGCTCAAGCTTTTCTACGGGATGAGCTCTGACACGGCAATGAAGAAACACGTGGGAGGAGTTGCCGAGTACAGGTGAGGAGAGGCGCTAAGCTTTCCATCGGGGAGGTCTCCCGTCTACAGAAACGGGGTGGACACAGGTCTTCGGGAATACCAGTCCTGTTTATGTTAACGCATCGTAGAAGGGGCTGGAAAACGTATCTGGCTTCTTTTTCAAGTAGCCCTAATTTCCTCCAGTCCCTGGGGGGTGCAAATGGTTAAATTGTTCAGCTGCTAACTGAAAGGTTGGAAGTTCTAGTCCATCCAGAGGCGCCTTGTAAGAAAGACCTGGTGATCTACTTCCAAAAGCTCAGCCACTGAAAATCCTGTAGAGCACAGTTCTACTGTGACACACGGGGGGTCGTCATGAGCTGGAATCCGGCAACTGGTTTTCATTTCTGTCCAGCTAGCATTTGCTGTGTTTGGAGGCCTCGGAAGGAAGAGCAGAGCAGAAGTGTTTTGGGATGGGTTGGAAATTTGACTGGGGGTGGGGTGGGGTATGTGTGAGCAGGTGTGACTACCACTCAACCAGTCCTTGGAGGTGACGCTCCAGATGTCCAAGGGATGGTGGGGAGTTGCCTGGTCCTTCTGACGGAGCTTTTGCTGAGCTCCCGGTAGCCATGATGCCTGGTCTGAGACAAGCTCAGGCTGCAAGAATTGGGTTGGAGAACGGATCTCCCATTGCATGTGAAATGGGTGTGGTCTGGACTGCCACGTGGTCACTGGGTCTTTTTTTTTTTAAGATGATGACACAGCAGCATTGTCAGCTGTTTGTCTCACTTACTGCAGAAGGGATGTTTGCTTCTGCTCATCTTTCTTATTTTGAAACCCACAATCCTGAAAGATAACCTGGACTTCCCTGTTACGTTCCATTTGAATTGTCTGCTTATGTGTTTTAAGAACCCTCACAGCATATCCTCACTACCTTGCCCTGCTCCGTAGCGGATGCTCTTGCTTCTCATTGGGGTTAGCACTGATGCCTTGCGCCACATAGTGGACAAGACGGAAGGTTTTGCAACCTCAGAAGGAAGTCAGCTGTGAAGAGCCTGACTGCCCTTCTCTGGGAAACCTTGGGCATCTCACTTGTATGTCAGCTCTCTCCCAGCCTGGGAGGGAAACCAAGTCCTCCTTGGTGGGCACCCTTCACTGCCTACTACCAACTGCATCCAAAAGCTCATTTTGAACACGTAGGATTCAGATGCATTCCATAAGCTAAAGGTAAAAATCTCAGCCCCCCACTGAGATTTCCAGGTGGGAGAGGAACGTGGGGTACTCTACCAGAGTCTGCCCTTCACTGGGCTCAGAAGGGAGAGCAGGTGCTTTTCTGGGGTTCGGGTAGACTGACTTGACTTCTCATTCTCCCCAGTGATAGTATGGGGAGGGGCAGGGCAGGGAAGAGGGATGGGGGACACATTTATAGCTTCATCCTGGAGGCTTCAGACAATCAGGAAGAAGACAGACACCTCTTTCCCGGGGAGCCTCAGTGGAGGTTGTCTCGATCAGTTAGTTGCGGGGGTGGGAGGTATAGGGAGTTACTGCCTCAGTGGCTCGCTGGGCCTGCGGCCGAGAAGCTTAGTGCTTTATTGGAACCGTTGTCCCCCCGTGAGGGCCGTGCAGTGTCTCCCGCGTGCTGTTTTATAAGTGGAGCCACGTGGCCCAGTGTTAACGCGATGCTCTGCCAGAATAGCTGTTTGGCCCTCTAGCTGTCACATCTGTCCTGGCTTCTCAGGTGAGTTGGAGATGGGCAAGCCAGGCCAGGCCACAGCACACAGAAGCCAAGGAGCTGAAAGAGAAGTCAGCTGTCATTTCCCCAGGGTTTAGACATGACCGAAAAGAAAACGTTCAAGAGTATCAAGACTCCGTTCTGGAAGCCAGTTCAAATCTTAGACAAGGAAGGAGTTAGACCCCGGTCCAAAGCCAGCCCAAGCCCTGCAGATTGCCTCTCCCGTTCTCTGTTTCTAGCAGCTTTCTGCCTCATTACAGCCATCTCTTCATGAGAACGGTCCCCTGCTTTGTCATTCTGTTTAATTATGACAGGGTTGTTTATGCTTTGATGGTTCCTTCCCAGTCATTAACCATTTACTTCTCATGCTGTCCCTGGGAGGTGGGCCAGAGCACCTCCATTTCACAGATGTGAAGACGTAAGCATCAGCATAGATGACTTGTAAAAGGTGAGGTGGTCAGTTAGTAGAGAAACCAATGATGAGAATCTGGATACTTTCCAACAAGCCCTGGGAAACTCATGGACATCTCTTAAGAAAATAAAATGGCAGTCATTTCAGGCCGCTGTGTCCCATGCCTGTCCCTGTCACACAGTAGTGACCTGAACTACCCCAGGTGGCTAGTGACCTCAGTTTCATTCAGTCGTGGCTCTGAACCAGCCCATGGGCCAGCCCTTCATTAGCTGATGGTTTAAGTAGCTAGATTTCTACCCAAGAATAGTCCTACCTACGTAGATTTCAGTGAACAATAGTTAATACCCTTTTGGAAGTCTAGCTAATGTGTTTCTGATCCAGAGTTGCTGTTTTTCCGGTTGAAGAGAGTCACGAGAGAAAGTTCCAGAATTTGGGTAACTGTTAGAATGTCCAGATGGCCTGGCCCTTAGATGAGGGCTGGGGTTTCCCATAGTTTCCAGATTGCCTTCTTACAAAAGCAAGTCCAGGCCGTATCTGCATTCGGCATCAAGGGGAGCGGATATGTGGAATTAGGCAATGCTATTTGATGACCTTATAGGAAACAGGACAAGAGCCTCCGAGAGGATGGTTTGATACTGCTTCATGCTCGTGCCATTTGCCAGACCTTCTGAATTTCCAAACCCTCCTGGGTGGTGCAAACGGTTAATGCACTCGGCGCTAACGGGAAAGTTGGAGGTTTGACTCCAGCCAGAGGTGCCTCGGAAGACAGGCCTAGAGATCTGCATCGGAAAAATCAGCCATTAAAAACCCTGTGGAGTCCAGTTCTACTCTGACACCCGTGGGGTTGCCAGAAGTCAGAATCAGCTCAACAGCATGTGGGTTGATTTGTGGAAAATGTGAAAGATGTTATTCAAAACATACCTGAAGTCCTTAGTTCTCCTCCGGTTCCACCAGGCTTGGCTCCCACCCCACGCACAGGGCGATAGGTGCAGTGACTTGTGAGGACACGGGGCAGTGAGCTGGGGTGAGCGTGCCCAACGCAGAAAAGAAACCAAACCCGTTGCCATCAAGTCAGTTCCGACTCATAGTGACCCTATAGGACAGAGTGGAACTGCCCATAGGGTTTCCAAGGAACACCTGGTGGATTTGAACTACCAACCTTTTGGTTCGCAGCTGAGTTCTTAACCACTGTGCTACCTGAAAGACAGGCAGCCTGTTAGAGGGAGCCCTTGCATGGTGCTGGTGGAGGTTCCCACATACCCACACAGGGCTTGGGTTGTCAATTTTTAGATCCTCCTCTTCCTCCTGCTTGTCACCTGGAAAGCAGCTCCATTTCTGAGAGTAGAGCTGCCATGCCACACGGTGGACCTCTAGGCTGTTTCTGCTGTTGATCTTGGAGGGCACACGGAGGAGGCAGTAGCAGATGGGGGAGCACTGTTCCTAGATGTAACAGGCCTGGTCTCTTCTTCTTCCTGGTGGCACAGTGATTAAGTGCTGTGGTTGTTAACCAAAAGGTTGGCAGTTCGAATCCACCAGCTGCTCCTTAGAAACCGTATGGGACAGCTCTTGTCTGTCCTGTAGGGTCACTATGTGTTGGAATTGACTCGGCAGCTGCGAGTTTGGTTTCTTCTTCTTCTTCTTCCCATTGGTTCTTGATCTATTGGAGATAACTGACTCACCAGTGGCTACCAACTCACAGTGACCCCACGTGTGTCAGAGCAGAGCTGTGCTCCATAGGGTTTTCAATGAATGAGTTTCCGGAAGTAGATCGCCAGGCCTTTCCTCTGAGGTACCTCTGGGTGGTCTCCAACCTTTTGGTTAGCAGCTGAGCATGTTAACCGCGTGCAGCACACAGGGCCTCTCTCCTGGAGGGAGGGTGTACACACTGAGACGGATGAGGAAGGTGGAGTGGGTTTCTGTGAGGCGCATGGTGGAGGCACGTCACAGAGGAGGGATGTCACTCATCGTGCGGGCCTCTGGGTCTGCGCCTTGATCAGGTGTGGCTCACGAAGTCGTGCTTTCCCGAGTGCCTGTGTAGCCAGCAGGGAGGCTGAGTTCTCCGGGTGAGAGGCATGAGTGTATCTGAGACGCTGGCCTGGCCACAGCCTGCCACTTGGTGGAAATGTGGAAATGGGGTCAGAGGGTGAGGTTGCTAGCCTTTTAGCTACCTGAGTGTCTTGGGGGCTGTTCAAAGGGCTACCAAAAAAAAAAACAAACCCATTGCTGTCGAGTAGATTCTGACTCATAGCGACCCTACAGGACAGGGTAGAACTGCTCCATAGACTTTCCAAGGAGCAGCCGGTGGAGTTGAACTGCTGACCTTTTGGTTAGCAGCCATAGCTCGCCGTAGCTTTTAACCGCTACGCCACAAGGGCGCCAAAAAGGCCACAGCTTGGAAGGATTCTAGCTGGGTCCCTAAGGAGTAAAAGATTAGCTAAAACCCCCAATTCCTTTTTCTTCCAGAGCCTCAGAGGGCAAGACTGTGGAAGTGCCTTACAAAGGGGATGTGGAGAACACAATTCTGGATATTCTCGGGGGACTGAGATCAACCTGCACCTACGTGGGGGCTGCCAGACTGAAAGAACTCAGCAGGAGGGCTACGTTCATCCGGGTGACCCAGCAGCACAACACCCTGTTCAGCTGACTTTGAGGATGAAGTGCCACCAGCTTGTGTGGGGGCTTCCACACGCACCTGCTTGGTCTGCCCCCCTCCCCTGTACCATGTAAGAGCTTCTGCTGCTCGGAGTGGGGGAGAGCCACCTCCTTACCCGCCTCCCGCCACCTGAGGCCCTGGGACTCTCCTTGTGCCTTGTTGGGGCCCAGATGCAGGGTGCTGATTGGGTCAGTGATCAGAGCCTAGCTGCCCAGAACTCATAACCTCATTGTGAAAACTAACATTTGCACCTTTTTCTTTTTTTTTTTTTAAGAAAATGGTTTCACTTTAATATAATGCTATTATCTTAAGAATTGATTGAGTGCTGGAGTTTCCATTTGCAGGAATCAAGCTGGATGGGGTAGTCGGGGGGTTTTCTGTTTCCTTCCCAGGCAGGCTTAAGCAGAAAGTTGGCAGTTCAAGTCCACCCGGAGGTGTCTTGGAAGAAAGGCCTGGCGATCTATTTCCGAAAGATCACGGCCACTGAAGACCCCATGGAGGGGGGTTCTACTCTGAAACACACGGGGTCACTATGAGTCGGAACTGACTCAACAGCACCTGGTCGGGTTTGGTTTTGGTTTTCCCAGACAGACTAGCGGCCGACCACTGCTGGCTGTTAGCAGTCAAGGCAACTGGGTGGGAGAGTGGGGCGGGGGAAGCCTCAGGGAAGACAAGGGAGAGTAGCTGGCATCCCTCCCTCCACCTTGGGGTTGCTGGAAAAGAGCCAAAGGACTTGACTGGGCAGAAGAACATGGAGAACTGGTTCCTCCGCTGGTGCTTCAACCAGGTTACGCTTTAAGTGAAAGTTTATAGCTCAAGTCAGTTTCTCATACAAAAATGTATACACACATTGTTACGTGACCCTAGTTGCTCTCCCTACACGGTGACAGCACACTCCTCCTTTCCACCCCGGGTTTCCCGTGTCCGTTCAACCAGCTCCTGACCCTCTCTGCCTTCTCATCTGTAGCGACACCATTTTCACCACCTCCATTCCACAGGCCTTTTGGGAACACATTGTCTGTCTCTGCCAGTCTGGCGGACTTGCTGCTTCTAGGAGGCCGCCTCTGGTTCCTCGTTCAGTCCATTTCCTTTCCCTTCTCAGTCCCTCCTTGCCAGGCTGGTTTCTCTTAAAGGAGGCTTTAAAGTATTTTGAAGCTCTCTGGGATGTTTTATTGGAAGGGTACCTACTAAAAAATTGACTGGTTGGAGTCCCACTGGAAACCAGCCAGAGCCCCGACCACCGCCATCCTAAAGAGTGCTGGTTTAAAATGCGAGTTAGAGCAGTCTTTTCATCACCTCCTAGGGCGATTCGTACTTTTAAGGAAGAACCACACAGCATTACTGTATCCCAGTCCATTAACTGGCTGAGGACAGTGACATTTTCTTGGAGAAAGAACCTGTGGACATTGCAGGGATCCCGCAGCAGTCCACTCTGACACTGGTTAAAACCAAAAACACTGGATGAATTCAAGGTGACTGGCCACTAATTAAGGAGCCCTGGTGGTGCTGTGGTTAAAGTGCTCGGCTGCGTACCAAAAAGGTCTGCAGTTCAAACCCACCAGCCACTTGGCAGGAGAAAGATGCGACAGTCTGCTTCCATAAAGATTTACAGCCTTGGAAACCCCATAGGGCAGTTCTGCCGTCCTATAGGGCCGCTATGAGTTGGATTCGACTTGATGGCAGTGGGTTTTTTTGGTTTGGCCACAGATTTAGAAGTATTACTTGAGGAATAGGACTAGAAACTTCTGTGGATCAGGATGTTTGACTTTACTCTTTAACGAGGCTAAAGAAGTAGATGATGTTGGCTGCTGTTGAGTCATCCTGACTCCTGGCGACCCCATGGACAACGGAATGAAAAACTGCCCAGTCCTGCACCTCCTGATGATCCTTTGTGGGTCAGACCATTGTGATCCATAGGGTTTTCATTGGCTGGTTTTTTTCAGATGTCCATTGCCAGGCCTTTCTTCCTAATGTTAATCTGGAAGCTCCGCTGAAACCTGTTCAGCATTACGAACGCGCCAGCCTCCACTGACAGATGGGTGGTGGCAGTGTATGAGGTGCGCTGGCTGGGAATTGAAGCTGGATCTCCCACATGGAAGATGGGCATTCTATGAGTGAACCAGTGCCCTGTAAAGAAGCAGATAAAGAGGCCAGTTTTCTTTGAAAAGGCAAGTTGAGTAGAGAAGTCTCTTGGACTTGTAAGGCAGGACCACACAGTCCTACTGTAGGATGGTGACTTAATGGCCTGATTGTCCACAGTGGTGCATTAAAGACAACAGTGGTGCCTGGTCATGTGAAGGATCTAAGCACACCTTCCCAGTCTGGGCATATATAGGTCCGTTTTCAGTCTATCATAATACATTTAAAGAGCCAGCAACTTTAACCCTGTTGTAATAATTCCCCCTCCTCAAATCCATAAGAAACATGAATGGCTGCATTATTAGGACAGGAGGGCCGAGAGGATGTTGAACGTAGAAGATGTGGGGCTTGCTGGAGACCCAGACCCTTTATACCTAGGTACCTGTGGGTGGGATGGAGGTGTAAGCCTCTCACACCAGCCCGTGGAAGACTTGTTTCACACTCAACGCCCTTACAGGGAGTTTGTTTAATTAATGCAGTTGGCTGCTAACTGAAAAGTTTGCAGTTCCAATCCATCCAGAGGTGCCTCAGCAGAAAGGCCCGGCAATCTGCCATATTTTTACACAAATAATGCACGCCTTCTGCGTTTGTTTGCCGGCTGTGCCCGCCTCCCGCAAGGTGTTTTTGTAAGCATGCTGTGCTCATTTCTTTTTACAGCAACGTGTGAAAGAGGATTGGCAGGGCTGTGCTTGTGAGGGTGCTTCACGGGGACAGGAAGGGCGCAGAAGGTGCGTGTTATTTATGTAAAAATAATGGTAGTCCCAAAAAGTTAGCCGTTGAAAACCCTATGGAGCACAGTTCTACTCTGACACACATGGGGTCACCATGAGTTAGAGTCCACTTGGTGGGAACTGTTTTTTTTTTTTTTTGTCGTTGTTACTGTAAAGTAAGGGAGAGAGATGAAGGAAAGGAAATCTTTTTTAAAAAAATCCACGAAACATGGATCAGCAGTAGTAAGGGGGCTTCTTTTGAGCCCATGTCCTTCTCCACACTCGGGCTGTTACTGGGGACACCAGCGCCCCCTGCGCGGGCTGGGCCTGTGCCATTCCTAGGTGGTCAGTGAGGTGACACCCTGCAGTTCCATGTGGCCCCGCTGAGGGTGGCACTGCCTACCCATGTCCTGTTCTGTCCAGCTCATGTGAGGATCCTGTAGACTTGCCTGCTGTTTCCAGAAGCTGAAGGCAGGTCCCTTGCTCATCCAGACTTCAGGAACCTGGAAACTTGGGTTATGGCAAAAAAGACAAAGACTCGTCGGGATCATCGGGAAGTGGAGGCTTTACAGAGAGCAGGCCACTAAGGCCCCACTGCCCCTTGCCTTGGCAAGTCCTGTCTGCCTCCAGGAGGACTGGGCCGTGGAAGGCCTGCACTGGACTGGCCCCTCAGATCAGGTGTTAGGCAGGACACCAAGGTTAAATGCAGCCTCCCTGCTGACCCGTAGGCTCTCCCAGGCCTGAGTGGGGTGGGGAGGGAGAGAACCCCTCTCTGTACAACAGCCTCAGCTGACAGCTGCTGTTCATCGTGACCTGCTCCAGCTTCCTGCTCCTGTGAGGCTTTCAATGGTTTCAAGGCCTGGCCCGTTGCGGCATGTGAAGTAAAGGATTTTCCCTAGTCAGTTAGACCTGCTGAGGTAACTATCACAGCCATTGGACATCAAACTTGTCAGAACAATTTAGATCTCAAAAAAAACAAAACAAAACAAAAACCAGAAAACAGCAGGACAGGCAAAGTCTCAGACTTCCCGGCACCACACTGGTGGGCTTGCTGTCCTCAGCCTGCTCTGGAGGCGGGCTCTGGACAGCCCTTCTGGTCCGTTCTACAGGGGTCAAGGTTCACCTCATCTTCTGCGGGGGTCAAGGTTCACCTCATCGGCACTGTCTTAATGCTCACTCTTTCACATGCCAACAGTCACAGTAGGTCAGGACGTCAACCCTTAAGTGTCCTACAGGAGAGTCCCGGGTGGACGTCCCCAGGATAACCTAACCAAGAAGGTAATGGAAGGAGACAGCCATTCCTCCTTGGGCTGAGTGAAAACGGACTGAACACAGAGTTCGCCTCCATCCCTGCATAAGACAAGGATTTAACAGGCATGGGTGCAAGTTGTGGGGCCCATTCACCTCAAGATCAGGAGTCCATGAGGAATGAAATTCTGGGGGCAACTGCTGAGCCACGTATGTCCAACCGCATGGTGCAAACCTGTGGTACAGCATTCTTGAGACGAACATGAGGGCTCCTCGCGCGCTGGGGACACCCCCTCTTTGAGTTCTAACAAGCAGGAGCTACGGGAGACACTGGCAACTTCCTGCCTTCGGCCCTTTAACCAGTTCACAGGGCAACTACGGGATGTGTCCTCATGCCCAGGAGCCCCTGGAGCTGCCGGGTGTTTGCCAACAGCAGTGTTCAGACAGGAGACAGACACATCAACTGGGCACGCCGAGACACCGGATGTGCCTTTTAGCTCAAAAGCAGGGAGCCTGGTGGCGCAGTGGTTAAGCGCTCGGCTGTTAACCGAAAGGTCTGCAGTTCGAATCCACCAGTTGCTCCATGGGAGGAAGATGTCTCCGTCGGCTTTCATAACGAACCCTTGGGAACCCCATGGGGCAGTTCCACCCTGTCCTACAGGGCTGCTGTGAGTCGAACTGACTCTCCGGCAACAGATTTTTTTTTTTTTAAATCTCAGAACCTCATCTTAAGCATTACTCTCCTTCCCCCAAAAAAAAGTTTGTAGAGAAAGCAATGCCCTGGGTCAGCACCCCCACCACAAACCTACTCAGGTGGCCGCAGTGGAGGAAAAACGGCACAACACGTCTGTATTCTCAGCCTCATCTCTGAGGCCCGGACACACGGCAAAGACACACATCTGCAGTTGGCACTGTTATTTTATTAGTACGAGTATACTGAAACGATAAACTTGTACTGGTATACAGACAATTTATTTAAAACAATTTTGTTCAAATTTTGAATCAAACATTGTTTTATTATAATAATGAAATAATTTCTACCTAGAAAACCTGCAAGCACCATCAAAGAAAGGGACCATAAAATTCAATAAACAGACTCGAGTGTATCCTACAAATAGACACACCACGATTAGAAAATAGAATATGAATTCTTCCTTTTTTTTTTTTTAATATTTGTCTTAAAAAAGCTAGTGCAAGTACAATATTTTACACTGGAATTACAGAGAGTATGCACGCATATGGAAAAAAGCTCTCCTGTCACAATAAAAGCTCTTAACTATGTATGCACTTAAAATTTTTTTTTTCTTCTCAGTAAGGTGCAAAACATCATTCCTTCCCTAGTTCTCCTTTATACTGGCCATGTCAGTCTGTGAGTGCCCTCAAAC